CCACCCCCGTCCTCTGAATGTGCACTCCAGCATTCCTCTTCCTCCTCCCTCGCTTTGTGCCCGATTCCCCAGGGCACAGTAAGAAATCTGCTGAGGAGACTCTCCTATCTCGTGTTAAAATGCATGACTTCATTAACATTACTGCAAGATTTAACATAGATGAGTTGTCAAATTTCTTGGTGTCCTGGAAGGTGAATCTCAAAATCTCCTGCCATCGAGTCAAGGCCTGCCAAACTGCCCTTTAGGGCTTCCAACACCAGAATCTTTCCAGAAGCACACCCTCACATCTTCTTCTCCAGATGCAGCTCTTGAGTTCCAGCCACCAGTCTTTGGCTCCCAGTTGACTGTGGAGCCGTTGTGACCCCAGCCTGCTTTCCTCCTGCCTCCCTCTCTCGTTCTCGCCCGTGCTCTGCAACTCAGTCTGTCACCCTGCTCTCCCTGACCACCCAGCCTCCACTGCCTGGTCTCGCCCTTTCTTCCCCATGGTATTTTGTCATTATTAGTATTCGATTGTGTCTCTTTCAATTTCTTGCCCTTGTTTATGATCAATAGTAAGTGATTGAAGGGGCTAGCCCACTGGTTTACCCTGTTTCTGGTGGTGTGCCCACAGAGTTGTTGTTTTGCTGTGAGGGGTCCAGGAGGGCCGCCAGGTCTGTGGGCTCCAGAAAAGGAGCCAGTTCTTGGATGGGCCTGGGAAGCAGCAGCCGGTACTGACAAGCATCAAGGTTCAAAAACAAAATCTAGAGTTTATGAAGGTGGATGGAGAGAGAGAAATTGAAACTGAGTTTTCATATCCACTCCTCTAGCGGTAGGTATAATCATTTCTACTCCTACTTCCCAGATAGGAGGAAATGGAGAACTGCGTTGTCAAAAGCAGCTCTTCTATGAGCTTTCCAGTTGTTACTATCTCAGGATTACAATTTTCAGGGGAAGACTGCGCAGATATTCACCAAACCAGGTATTAATTGGGTTCCTCTTATGTCGTTCTGAGCCTTAGGCTCGTGCCGGGGATAGCACACAGTGTGCCGGGGATAGCACACTTGACCTTAGCCCCCACGAAGGGCACAGTCTTGTGGAGAAGAGGCACAAACAGGAGAACAGTAGGGCGGGTGCTGAAACAGGGCTGTGGAAAACATACTGAGGACGATTTTGCAGAAGAGAAATTTGAGTGGAATCTTGAAAAATTTAAGCACTTTCCTCTAGTTCCTAAATGTTTCCTCCCCGCTCCCACTACCATGACTCGAATTC